AGAAACACACAGTGGCTGCCTCCTGCAAGAGGAGCAGCCTGCAACTGAGGTACGTGCCCTTGACCGGAATCAAACCCAGGACCCTTTAGTCCACAGGCTGACGCTCTAGCCACCGAGCCACTGAGCCAAACCGGCTAGGGCTGTGGTTGCCAAACTGCGTCTTGGGAAACCGCGGCTCGCAAGCCACATGCAGCTCTTTGGCGCCTTCAGTGTGGCTATTCCACAAAATACCTCTCTTCCACAAAATACCGACTTATGCACATGGGCCATGAAATTTCAATCGCACTGCAGGTGCATGCCCGTACGTGGTATTTTGTGGAAGAGCCACACTGAAGGGGCCAAAGAGCTGCATGTGGCTCGCAAGCCACGGTTTGCCGACCACGGGGCTGGGGCAATCCCAAGTATTTAATTGCATGCAGGTAAAAACATTACCTGAGAAGAGGTCCAGAGATTTTACTAGATTGCCTATGGAGATCTTTGCCACAGAAATGATTAAAACGCTCTACTCTAGAGTTTAGGAGTATCTTGGGTCCGAGAGCAGTTATGGTTGGGGCTCCAAAGAAGGTAGTTGAGTCACAATTGTTGTTGATATGTATAGGGGTATTTATAAATCTATGCTCATAGGTACAGAACTGACTCGATTTTTTTCTAGCATAGTCTACTAAGGCCAAACATACATGGTAGAGGAATCAGGAAATTACAACCCAGTTGCAAAAACTTAATCCAAATTAAGATAACCCCAAATACTTTCTAGTTGGTGACTACTTAACAGTTTTATCTAGGTGTGGTTTCTTATACACATACAAGTGTGGATAGTTATTAAATTGTAGATATATTATATACAAATACATATATATATGCTAGAGGTCCGGTGCACAAAATTTGTGCATGGGTAGGGTCCCTAGGCCTGGCCAGTGACCAGGATGCTGGCCGGGGCCTTTCTTCTGGCTTCCAGCTGCTGGCTGGGGCCTTCCTTCCCCAGCTGCTGGCTGCTGGCCTGGGCCTTCCTTTGTTCTGTGCCGCCCCCTGGTGGTCAGCACATGTCATAGAGAGCAATCAAATTCCTGGTCTCCCAGTAGAACTCCTGAGGGGACACTTTGCATATTAGCCACATATATCTCTATCTCTATATCTCTCTATATCTCTCTATATATGATAGTGGCTAGGGTGGTCTTCTCTACAAATTTTAATATGTAATGCATACATATTTTATGAAAGTAATTCACCTAAAAAGTACTAAGTAGTATGTGTAGAAATTGGATGAAACTACTAGTGTTTGCTATAGTTTTTTGGTTAG